CCCCTTCCACCGTCGCAGTGGTCCAGTAGCGGCAAAGCCTGTTGCCTCTGTACGTTCCCCGAGGATTCGTTAGCGTTCCGTCCCGATGGAGAGAGAGAGCGCGAGTTCTCTCTCGACGCGTGCGCGCGCGAGCGGAGGCTGTATATCAATGACATACCACGACAGTGGCGGCCCCTAAAAGCCTTTCGGCGTTTGCGGTTTGCCAGATAAAAGAAGGGAGCGAACGAGTTTTCTGCTGGAACTATATCCTGCCTACCTTTCTGTCTCTTATTTTTTTTGTCGGACCCGCGTAAATATTTTCTCCTTCGAACTTCTTTCGGTGGCACGTGTTACGCGCAGGCGTGCACGACCTATGTCTCTCTCTCTCTCTCTCTCTCTCTCTCTCTCTCTCTCTCTCTCTCTCTCTCTCTCTCTCTCTCTAAGGGCTCTCCAAGAAGTTTTCATTAAAGTGTTTCCTGACACTTGGAAAATCTGTTCGGGCCGCCTTCTATATATAATAGCGTTCGAACGTGATTTTGCTTTTTCTACGCGCGCTGTAGTAGACCCTATGGCTGGTCGATGGATAGAAAGCGAGAGTCAAGTTTCTTTTTACTTCTCGGCTCGGCTATCAAACTTTTTTCCTCCTCGACATCTGCGCGCTTGAGAAAAAAAAACCCCGGGAAAATTCCTCGAAAGAACATTTAACTTTCTTCAAAAGCACGACTTTTTTTCTGTCTGTCTGCAAGTACAAGTGATGGAAAATTTAATGCTCGCAACTCTCGGCTAAAGAGCGAGCGAGTTTAGTTTCAAGTGTGCACGTACGGGAAATTTAATTGGCTAATTCGTGATTAATCGTCGCCTCGAGAGGGAAAGAGAGTATGTTTGAAAGGCGTCGAAAGTCGAATACATAGGCACAACAGAGTTATACTTAATTGGAAAAAGGCTGACGTCGGCGGCGGCTCCATAGATTTCCAATTGGCGTAACGATGACAAACGCGTGGAGCGCGCGGCTACGCGGAGAATCGCTATCTCGCAAAACCTCCCACAGCTGCACAAGAGAGCGTACAGCGCGCAAAGAGGAAAAAGAGCACTTAATTCATGTCAGTGCCGCGAGGTAATTATGCACAGGCGCGAAATTAAAAATTACAGAGATAACGGCTTTTCCTTTTTCTGTGTCTGTCTCTCTCTCAGCCGGAGTAGCTAGCTGCATAAATGAAGATAGCTCTGGCGAGTGGCCGGCGGCTGGGATAGAGAGAGAGAGAGAGAGAGAGAGAGAGAGAGAGAGAGAGAGAGAGAGAGAGAGAGAGAGAGAGAGAGAGAGAGAGAGAGAGAGAGAGAGAGACGGGACCCGCATTCGTCGGACAAAGATGCATGGGCTCTCTCTCTCTCTCTCTCTCTATCTCGCGTGCAGTGCAACTTGCCTGCACGAACGAACGAATCGTTCGCGCGGCAAAGGATGTCATTGCGGTGTAGAGCTATATGTATCTACGAGTGGGCCGACTTCGGATATGGGAAGTTTGCTTTGACACCTCGCGACGGATTATTCGATTGTCGAGCTGCAGTAACGTCATAAAAAAAAGTAGCCAGCGCTTGGACGCGGATGCACGTCGCTGAGCAAAGCTAACGAATTAGATTCACATTTCGGAATAATTGGGGCACAAGCGCGAGGCAGTGGGTGCGCCGAGCAAAAAGATAAGCTATAGATACGACAGGACGATTACATTTCGAGCAAAGCACTGCTATTCTCTCAACGTACGTAATTAATCGCATGATTTCAGGAATTAATCAGCAAGTAATTTCGCGGCCGAGCGATAGCATAGCTTGCACTGCAGACGCGAGCGCTCGTCTGCTGCCTAACTGCCGCCAACGGCGCGTAATTATGCGATGCGGGCTGCTTTGCCGCGACAAAAGAGAACTGCGCTACCGCCAGAGATGCTCAATTCAATCAAGTTTGTCGCGTTGCGTCTGTTGACGCAGTCTCGCTGTACCCAACTCCGTATTTGCCACTTCTGCTCGCTTACCTACAGCTCTCCGCCGAGTTTGCCCTGCCGCGCTCATTTTTCTTCGCCCGACTCTCTCTCTCTCTCTCTCTCTCTCTCTCTCTCTCTCTCTCTCTCTCTCTCTCTCTCTCTCTCTCTCTCTCTCTCTCTTTGTTCGACTCTCGGTAATCTGTCAAATCAGTTGGAGAACTCGTTGCCCCTCTCGCGACTCCCACTCCAACTGGTGCGACTAGCAAGTGGAATTGAGCCTGCGGCAGCAAGTTTCCGCGCGAAGGCAACTCACCGATGATAATGATAGCGATGCATTATTTACCAGGCCCACCGCCGCACTGCCAACGCATGCCCTAATGATTATAAATCAAGGGTAAATATATGTATATATATCCCCGGACCGACCTTATCTACCCGCTCCCTCTTCCCGCTGCGGAAACCTTGTAACTTCCTGTTGAATCCCGATCTTTCGGTTGACCCTCCCTTTAACATATACGAAACTCGAATCGCGAATAGGGAAAGCCCCGATGCATAGTCATTCGAGACTGTCCATATTCAGGGGAGCTGCTGCTAGGTTCCGCGAACAATTGGTAAATTGGCAATTCGCCAGTGCTCACCTAATTAACCGCCACCTCGAACGATTTGCAAAAACTAACCGAGAGCTAAACGAGTCTAACGCGCGACGATTAGCCAGCGTCGGCTTGGCGATTCCACGACCAGATAGAAACGTCATCGAGCACGATAACGGAGATGTCATACACCACGTGGCCGAGATATCCTTGCTGCCGCCACGGCCGCTGCACTGTTTTGCGCCGCGGAGGCAACAGGTCGCCGATCGCGAGCTCGAATAAAACGTCAATCTCTCGCGAGTGCGCGGGCAAGAAATTGCCTAACGATCCGCGGACGGACGGCTTATAGTTTGGCAAGTAAGGCGCAGCTGGGTTTCAAGCTATCGCATCGCCGCCGCGCGAGTAGACACGACTATCGAGACTTGCAACTCGAAGGAGCAATCGAGCGGCCTTCTTCCGCGAGCGACAGGTTAAAAACAATCTGAAAATTATGCTGTGTATTCCAGGACGGGCGAATAGCGTAAGGCAACGCGCAACGCCGATGGCGCGGGTATTAGCATAATATGCAAATGCAAGCTCGCGCTCGTCGCGGAGGATTATCCTCGCGCGACAGGTCGTCGACGGACCGAATAGGCAAAGTCGTGCCAGGAGGATGCGTTGGCAAGCGCGCGCAACGAGCTATTTGCCTTTTGAAGCGACACCAGACCGACCGCCTAATCGCCGTTATTAAGTCATTTTATCGGCGCGAGCGGGCGGCGCATGTGGCGCGCAGCGCCCACTGCCTCATTATGTGCACCTACGGCAAGCTTTGAAAAATGCAGCAGCACGAGGTGTGGACGCGCCTTTCCATTTTTCTTCCCACTTGCCCGACGCGCGTCGCAACCGAGACCGTCGCGTTTGCGCGCTCGAAAATATTTGAGAACGTTATTCGAAACGAGGGGACATAGCGAGCTCCTAATTGAGCAGGCTAATAAATCGATCGCCGTCAGTCGGCCAGGCGGCAGTAGCGGCAGCAGCGGCAGCAGCGACAGCTCGCCAAATGATTTTTCAGGCTGGGCCCTCCGAACGGCAATTTCTCACTTGAAGGAATTAGCAGAGCCGCGTGGCCGGCGCGACGCTCGGTAATTACGACGCCATTGTCCGACGTCTTCCCATCTGCGAGCGCGGACCAGGAGACGGGCGACGAGCTGCAGAAATAAAAATCAATAGTCGAACTGCATCGGGGACCCATTGTCGCGCCGCGTTGTCCCGCGTGACGTGGGGCCCTGCTCGCCGCTCCCCCTTCTGCCTTTTCTTACAGCCTCTCTTTTTTTTGTGCTGCGCTAATGCCACGTTGCGCAGGCTACAGTTGCGCGCGATAACTCGGACGTGACGCACAGTAGCCGGAGGCGTCGAGCTCGCGAGCTTTGGCGAAAATAGCTTAATCGCCGGGCTTGTACGCGCTGGAAAGCCTCGTTTTTGCACCCAACGCTCGGTTAATGGGCGCGCGAGCTTGGGACTCGCGGCCGCCGCTCGGTTGGGCGCTGTGCGCGCCCGCGCCCGCGCCAGCGGCCTCGTAATCTGCCGACTTAGTATTGTAATTACGAACGGGAATGTTTGATGCGATGCAAATGCGAGAGCGAGAGAGGGAAAGCCGGCGCGGACAATAAAACGCGCAACAAAGAGAAGTCAGAAGGTCAGGCAAGAGCAAACAGGCTGCAGCGCAGTCGATCCCCCTGCGAAGCGATATTTCATTGGAGCACGCGCGCGCGCACGGCGCACATGACACCCCTTTCAACTTTGTTATACTAGCTGATAATTCCCCGCGGTGCGCGCGCGCGCGCGCACACCTCGATCGCGGCGCCGCGCGTGCTACTGCCGGCAGTGGGGTCCCCGGCCTGTTTAGGCGCGCCCATCCGGAAAGAAACTCGCACGAGCGCTCGAAAAACTTGCGTGGCAGAAAAAAAAGGGCTGCGCGCGCTCGAGCCCTCTAGAGTCAACTTTCGAAACAAAGAAACTGCTGGGCGCTCCGACTGCACGTGAATGATTGCCCAGGCCTGATACGCCGAAATCCTAGTTGCGAGCGTTCGAAGCCCGTCGGCTAGCTTCTCCAGCACGCAATTTCGTTCGTCACGTTCTCCATTTCGCTTTGTTATCGAGCCATAGTGCAATTCATCAAGTAGCGCGCTGAAAACTGCCAGACGACGCTTTGACACGTCCGTTTGTTTTGCGATGTCGTTTGCCCAAATTTTAATTAATTTTCGCGCGAGTACCGAACAAACGGCGCGAGCAGCTCTGCGACAAACCTGTTGTATCGAATTATCGAATGACGCGTGCATTGTCCCTGTTCACCAGTACGCTTTTTCAGTTGATTATTTTTATCGTGAAACGCCCACAATTATCCACGATTACTGCAGTGCGTGTGGCGACGTTGATAAGCTACCCGTATATAAAAAGGCTCGATATGTCTGGCTTAGCGGTTAGTTTGTATCGACAGGTTCACAGGGAGAAATAAGCCGTCGTGATGATCAAATCTATCCTGGTGTGCGTAGTTTGCTGTTTCTCAATTATTTATTGCTCTTACCAATCATTTGTCGCTTTTTCCTTACAGCGTTCTCGCAGCTGTAGTCGCAGTTCAGAGCAGCGAGTGGTTAGATCACTTGAAAAAACGAAGCGCGCATCTATCCGTACCTATTGATTCAAACTTGGACGGCGAGGACGAAGAGAAATACTTTAATCGAAAAGACAATTGGAAAAAAGAAATACTTGCGGCGATGAACGACGAGAATTTACACGAAAGTGAGGTTGACATTGCCAACAACGTTGAGGAACGCGACTTTGTCGTGAACAGATTGCAGAGCATTTTCGAAAGGGTCGTGGACAACTCGAAAGTATAAACGTCAAAGTGAAAGTTTTCAGTTTAATAATCAACCGTGTAGAGAAAACAAGGATGAAAAAAACCAAGGTTTCACCCCGAACTCGCTGACTTTCCTTCTCACTAATTTTAAAAGGTTTCTTCCGAAGCGAAAAATCAACAGATTGCCCATTATCCCAACTCTCGCGCACAAAAAAAAGTGAACGACAAAGAAAGTGTACGCGTAGAAGCGTCCCGCATCAGCAGGAGATACATAGCGAGCGCGCAAAAGTTCGGTTCAAATGTATATAGGCGCAGCGGAAAGGGAGAGTGGAAAAAAATATACCCGTAGATAAAAGAGAGAGAGAGAGAGAGAGAGAGAGAGAGAGAGAGAGAGAGAGAGAGAGAGAGAGAGAGAGAGAGAGAGAGAGAGAGAGAGAGAGAGAGACAGCTAGTTTTGCGGCAGGGATGCGAACAACTGGCGAGCATTCTTCCACGTGTTTTTATAGGAGCCAGAGCGGCCGCCCATCATGCTGCACCGGCAAGTCTCGAATTTCCTAGTATAGGTTGCGCGTCCATGTAGACTTTTCAAACGCAACAGCATGTTGAGCTCGAAAGCGAGAGTCGTCATATATTTCATGGGATAATCCCGGGGAACGAAAACTGGCCACTTTTTCGAAATGCCTCGCGAGTTCGAGTGCCGCTTTCTTCTCGCTTCTCCTCGACTCGCATTGCATTCTAGGCTCTATTTTGTATATAAATAACACGGCCCAGAGCGCGTGCACTCGTCGTGTCGCTGCCGGCCGTTACTCAATATATTCCATTATGCCAAGAAAAATCCTAATTTACGAGCTGAGCTCTCTCGACTTCACGGTCTATTTCTCATCCTTGAGTTGGCCGGCCGTTTGGCCAGGGATAGACTAGCTATAGACTAGCCGGGCGTATAAATTTTGAACGGCGGGTGAGGCAGGCAGCTTGATTGATCGCGACCTTAGCGCACGAGAAGCAAATGTTTGTCGAAGCAGTGCACGCGCGTGCAGCGTGCGTGCGCGCACCGGCCAATAAGTGTACAACGAGCAGAGAAAATACCGCAGCCGCGATAATCCGCTAGTTTCGATGAAGGCGGTTGGCTCTCCCGATCTACGGTATTTGTTTATGGAGGATTGGGCGCCGCCTCAGCCGAAGCCAAATAGAGTGCTTACGGAGAGACAACGAGGGAGATGCCAAGCAGCCGGCCGATGAAAATCCTTTAGCCAGATGAAAATAGCCGATAACAAAAGGCAAACACGTACGCGTACGCGGAGGCTCGCGACCATCGAGCAAACAAGCCTGTTTACTCAAGCCGCGCGGCATCATCAGCTCGCCGCTGCTGCACTCCGGCCATCCCGCGACCGTGCACCGCCGTGCACCGCCGGCTGCCTCGCAGCGGCCCGAGCCAAAAGTTCCTCCGCTCGCTGCCGCGGATCCCGCAAAACCGAGCAAACGCTGCAGACGCTCTCGTCTCGTTGGTTTATTGCATTCCCACCACCTGGCTGCGCCTCGCAGGCGCCACGACGGCGAGTGCGCGCCGATCGGAAGCGCCGTTTGCCAAATGACTCGCAGGCCGGGAGAGCGCGCGGCCGCGAGCCTCGTCCTCGGCGCTCCGATCCGCGCGCGCGTCGATCCGCGACGCCCTTTGATGCGGACAGCGCGCGAGAGAGGGTCGCGCGCTAGGCGCCCCGGCAGCTTCCGTTTCTCGTAATCGCAGCGCATCCCCGGGCTGGCGCGTTAGTCACGTCGCTGCGGCGACGCATCGTATTTATACCGCCGCGTCGAGCGAGCTCTCGGCTGCTGCAGTCGAAGGTTGAGGTCAGTTGCCTCTCGAATTCGGATTAGCCGAGGAGAGGCCGAGTGCGGCGCGCGTCTCACTTGCGCTGAGTAAACATCCTGGGTTTCGCTGCAGCGAGCGATGCGCCGCTCGAAAAACGAGCGGCGAAGGCTCTCCTGCGCGCTCGTTTATAAATACGCCCGCGAGACGAGTCGCTCGTCCCTCCTCCGAAATAGCCACTCGTCACCTTTACGTCAATCTCTCGGCCGAAGCGCCGCGGCGGCTCGTTGCTCGAATTAGCCCGTCCGCGCTAATTAAATCCTCGTTACGTGTGCCTCGATCGCTAAGGCAAAGCCAAACGAGCCTGAATGCAGGCCGGCCCGAGGAAACTGAATAGGCCCTGAGAGCGCGCCGCGGCACGATACAGCGGCCCAATGGAAGCGCGCTAATCCGCGAGTCGTACGGCTGCGGAGGCTGCTGCTTAGTTTACATCGAAATCCGAAAGTGCACCGCGGCAGCCTTAATGCCAGTTAGTCGGATTTTCCGGCTACCTACACATGCACGCTTTTCCCGCGCGCGGCCTACGCGTTATCTCTTAATTGCACTCGCTTTTTCGTTGTCCGTCCTCTTATGGCTCCACAGATTAGCCTGCATTTCGGAGCTACCCGAGCTACAAATTTTATTGCACGCGCGACTACGTGCGCAGGCTCTCGATGCTTTACTTACCACCGGCGCAGAACCGCTTGATTGTTCAAGTGGGAAACTCACCTGCAACAGAAACAAAGGGTCCGTGTAAATTTTTAGTCGTTCGTGATTCGGAAAGAGAGACCGGTATTTTTCTTGAGCAGTCCGCCGTGCAATTTTCGTTGCGAGAGAGGGAGAATATCTCAAATATTTAATATCTGCTTCAAGATATTAAGGAAGTTGAATTGTAAGAGGTGATGCAATAAGTGGAATACCTGGGCGATTTGCGAAACGTCGTTAAAAATGGAAAATATCTGCTGCAGCGAAGCGCGAGAAAGGCATTAGCAGTTTCATTCTTTACGCTTGCGAGCGCGATGAAAGAATCATTGCAAGACAAAGAAAAGACGAGTGAATAGAATTTTCCAGCAATAAATATGCCGTTCTTTAATATCGAGTCTTGCCGAGCAAATTAAATAATCCAAAGCGAGAGCGCATCTCTCGCAGATTGCTATCTTGCTCGAACAAAATTAACGAACGAAAGGTCTGGGAGCAGTCCCTTTCCCTGTACAGCGCTCGCGCAGGCTACGCAGACACCGAGCGGCAGCATCGGCGACGAAAGACAGCGTGAAAGATGGACGCGCAGAGGGAAAGATAGAAAACGCGTTGCAGGCCAATTTCGTCGACGCGCGGCCCGAACAATCTAAATAAACGCCGTCATTTCTGGTGGCCTCGCTCTCGCTCTCTCTCTCTCTCTCTCTCTCTCTCTCTCTCTCTCTCTCTCTCTCTCTCTCTCTCTCTCTTTCATGCCGCTGTTGCGGGCCACTTTCTGGCTGTCGCAATGCAAATCGATCGCGAAACGCACGCTCCCTCAGGCCGAGCGAGTCCGAGCCGTTTAGGAGAATCGAAAAGCCGGAAGTGACTCGAGGTAGACACGGACGGAGAGCTATTAGGCCGCGTGCGTCTGCGACATGCCACTTCTTCTTCTTCTTCTTCTTCTCCTTTTCCTATACCGTGCAGCGGCTCCTCCTTCGTCTCTGTCGCGTTCGCGAGCGGGTCCAGTTTCTTTTTGTTGGGCACTCACTCTCGAGCGCGGCGCACGCGCGTCCTACGTGAATGTGTTAAGAATCTACTCGAATGCGGGCCATGTAGGTCGCCTTGACAGAAGCGCCCTACTGACGACGACTGTCTCGCGATGCGCTGTCACGTCGACGGACACGTCGCTCGCGCGTTTTCACCACTCGTTCGCGTTGCTGCCCCATTATTGTTTACCGACTGTCATCTCTTCTCCCGCAAGGGAGCGAATTAATCGAGAGAAAGTTTGTACGCGATTCGGAAGGTGGCTCGGACAGCGAGGAAGCTGCAATGGCGCTCGCGCTTGCAACGACTGAAGCTTGCAAATGAGGATAATTAATTCGCTCTGAGAGGGGATTTCACCACCCTGCTCCCGGCGTCTCTATTAATATGCAACGTTCAACTGTTCTACCTCGTTTCTACCAAGTGCGATCAAAATTGTTTTGAATTACTCTCGTCTTTATCCTGCTGCATTCGTTAGCGTTGCAACAGTCTCTTGCATTTAATTAACCGCTTCACCTGTATAATGCACGTTCATTGAATTCGATTACACGGAAGACGACAAAAGAACGTTGGCGCAGGGCAAATAAGCCACATATACAGTTGATTGCAGAAGCCAATCAGGGAGTAACAGCCCTCGGAAAATAAGTTTATATAGACGGCAGGTCTTTTCCATCCGCAAGCCCGAGTTCATTCGCTCGAGGAGGAGCACTCCGAAGCTCTCGCTTTCCCTTCTCTAATCTCGCCGAATCTACGAGGAGACGGCGCGCGCAGGAGTATACGGCGTGTCTCCCTCCTCGATACTAAAGCAGGCGCGCTCTGGCACCACTCATCCCTCGTATATTAGCTCACGACGACGGAGGCGCTGCGATATCTCGAGTAGTCCCCGCAGACTGTGTCGTGGCGGCGGCGGCGGCGGCGGCGGCGGCGGCGGTGGCGGCGGCGGCAGGTACCGAAGGCGTGGCTGGAAAATTACGTTGATTAAATTCACGGCCGGGACGGGGGATGGGAAACCGGTGGTGCGCGTAAGACAATGCACGCACTCCGCGCGCTCGCGAGAGCTCGATAAAGTGCCGGCGCGTTAAAGTCTTGCGCCTAATTAGCCAGACCGCGCGTGCGCGCGCGAGGGAGGATAGGAAATTGCCGGCAAGCGAGGTCCTCGGATATGCATCCGCGCCCGCCAACTTCCTGCGATTTTACGAAACCCGTGAATGATTAAGCGCGCCAAGGAGCTCGCAGGGGCGCGCTGAATATTGTACGCAGTCGCCGGGCCGCATTCGGCAACAACGTCGTTGAGGCCACCGCTTGACTCGGCCGTACGCAACTGCAGCAATGTCAAGCACCGCGTAATAATGAAGGCGGGGGCGGGGGCGGGGGCGGGGGGGCAGCGACCGTGAAAACACGAGCTGGCGGGCAAAAACGCGGTACGCGCGCCCGTGAAATATTCAAGCGGCGCGCATGCCTCCTCCCCGAGCTAATGGGGAATAACGAAGACGAAAGAGGCTCGCGGCATGCGGCCGACGACCAACGCGGCAAGCAGCAGCCTGGTATTAAC